ATTTGTTAAATTCAGTCTTATTTTTAATATTATACTTAAAGCTACAGTGTGTAATTTTCAGCGACATCTAACGTCCAGACTGCAGACCGCAGCAACATGAACATCTCCCCCCCACCGCTTCTCCCCCCCAACAGTACGGTGAGCGTTACGGGACAAAATGTCTTCCACGACGTCGGAATCACCTACCTTCTCAAGTGATGAGGTTTGTTTACATAGATAATTTTACAGATAGTATTTCATTAGTCTGTGTAGGGTATAGATTTCATGTAGACTTTAGATAATAAATATACCCGTTATTTTTTCTACGTCGTTGTGACGTTTTGGTGAGCTGCTTTGCATGGTGATATAAACAGACGAAGGAATTGTAGTCATTAGTTTAACAGCGAGATTGTGTTCGCTAGAAGAATATATATTCCCCGTTTACAGAGTCCAAGTCTTGTTTGTGGCACGGGGGTTACAAGGCGAGGGAGAGGAAGAGGGCGAGGGCGTGCAGCTAGGGCCAGGCGAGAGAGGGGTGCCAGCGGGGTGACTAGAGCAGAGGAGGAAAGGCTTGAAGATCTCCAAAGGAGCCGGAGAGAAGTAACCGAGGTATATATCCAGAAAATTATTTTACAGAAAATTACTGAATCATTACCTGTGAAACGTCAGGGACGTTGCTGAATAAGTATACTGGAGAGTAACAGCATCATCACGCAGCATGTTATTGTTTTAGACAGGTCTGAGCATCCTGTACTCCAAAAACTGCAGTGATATTAGACAATTGTGTGTATAGGATTAATTACCTGTCCAAGAGAAAACTGGCAACTTGAGCGTCACTTTGAAAACCTTTTTCCTCCATCAGTGACTTCCATCGTGTAAATGCCGTGCCAATGTTGATCCGTGTTTTTTGCCGTTTCTTCTCACGCTTGCGTTTATTCTCGTCGTGTTTCCGCTTCTTAGATGACGGGGGTTCGGTGTCCGCCGCTTTTCGTTGTGATACAGAGTAGGCATGATCCTCCATTCGTCTGATGTTTGGCCACACAGTGCCAAACAGTTTGCAAAGTCACTCACGCCTGCCGCCTTGTTCACCTTTCTTGTTACTGAGGCGCAGTATACCTGCTTCTTCTTCTTCTTTGGTTTCAGGCAGACTAAACGCTTCTCAGGCATAATACTGCCATCTACTGTTCAGTACCGTCTCAGTTAATCTCTCTCAACTTGCCGTAGTTATTTTCGAGCGTAATGGGAGATCTCGCAATCGCTAGTTTGTTGCCTCTGCGCTTGCTGTAGCGCAAATATGTCTGCCCCCATGGCTGCGAGACCCGCTCCTATGTAATTATAAATAACGAATTCTAAGGCAACGCAAATATTATGGTTAAAAGGCTGAGCTCGTAGGTGATGATAAATAACATAGTTATGTATAATATATTAAATTTCTGACTTTATATCCCTGTAATTATTACACACTGTAGCTTTAAGGTAATATGGATTCAAGTATTCTTGTTTTTGCACTTTAGACATCACAGGTAATATTAGAAATGTGTTTCATTGACCAGATGCAACATCTGCACTAGCAATACTTTTTAAACTACAGGGTATTGGCACATTTGAACATTTTTAGTCCAGATTTATTCCCCCTAAACATTTACAAAGTTAGATCAATTAGTAGCAAACACGTCTGATTGATAGGGATACAGTTTCACAGCTCATTAGTTTCCAAAAACAAGTTGATGGATGCAGAGGATCCACTTTATCACTGCAGCAGATGTGTCCACCTTGGAAAGACAAGCCTGAAAAAAAAAAATACTTTTCTCAGGATGTTTAAGACAAACAAAAATAACTTGGTTTGTGATTAAGGCTTAACATTTTAAAATGAACTGTTCTAATAAGTAAGACATGGACAGAGATGGCAAAAATACTCATTTTCCGTACTTGAGTAAAAGTACAGATACTTGTGTTAAAAAATACTCTGGTAAAAGTGGAAGTACTGATTAAACTTCTTTACTCAAGTAAAAGTAACAAAGTACAGGCTTGTAAATTTACTTAAAGTATAAAAGTAAAAGTAGAAACCACTTTTTTCATACCGTTGCCTACATTTTAAATGGATGTCTGCCAATAGGACTAGATCTCCGTTGTGTTCATTTTCAATCATCTCGTCGTCCATACTACTATCCTAACGTCACCGCCACCAAGCTGCAATGATTTGCTGCGAATGAATACCGCCGAATCTGTCGATTCATCTTGTAGTGGTGCGTCAAATGCAACGTAGATTCCCATCCAATTAGACTGAATTTGGTATTGATGACGTGAAAAATAATTACGGTAACTCTATTGAAATGATTCAAAACTAAAGTAACAAGCCAATTTTTTAAGAAGTAAGGAGTAGAAAGTACAGATATTTGTGTAAAAATGTAAGGAGTAGAAGTAAAAAGTCACCATAAAAATAAGTAGTAAAGTAAAGTAAAAATATCAGAAAAATCTACTTGAGTACAGTAACTAAGTATTTGTACTTCGTTACTTCCCATCTCTGAACATGGAAACGTATTCCCAGACATATGTGTCAGATGTGTCGTTCACCTCCAACGCCTACCTAAGGGTTAAAATGCTCAGTCTGACTTTAGCATTAGTGCTGAAGCAACACTAATTCCATTTGAATAAATCTTTGATTCTGGCTTAAACAAAAAAACGTTTTCTAAGCAATATAACCTTCCTTTAAAAGAAGAAGCTGAGGTTGTTATCCATAATTATCCATGGCTTATATATGGGTGATTCTCCAACAATCAAAGAATTTCTGTGCCAGACACACATTCATGTTTTTTTTTTTCATGCTGCATCACTACTTTGGTCCGTTTCACGAAGCAGGTTTAAAAAACTCAGATTCAAATCAGCAACTATAATTGATCTAGCCTAAAGTCAGGAATTGGTTCAATAAACTCCAAGTAGGTCCACTCAATTTCACAGGTGCATAACAAGTATGAAAAGCCATTATCAGTGGAGCCCCCATTCGACAAGTCACCAGAACAACAGGCAAAAGAAAGTAGCTATCTCACCCCACTGGAACTAGGGATTCTAATTAAGAAATAAAAAATTGAAAATGTTTTTAAAAGACAGAGAAACAACACTGCTGCAAAGGAGAGGAAGATGACGAAGGAGAAGATTGTTGCTCCTCTTAAAGTGTAAGTTTATATGACGTAGACTATAGCAGGCCGTTTTTACATTTATTAAAAGCACTCCTCTCTGTGGTTCGATTTGTAGATCACTAAAATAAGATTCTTCCTGATCAAAATCACTCTCCTAGACCTAACTGTTGTAATATATTTTCTAAATTATATTTTTGCAGCAGAAACTGAATTTCAGAAAGCAAAACAACTGAATCATACTAGTAAGAATCAAGTTTTAAATACCTAGAAATAGTTGCACATTTTAAGTGGCCATTTTAACATTTATCAACTTGACTTAGTATGTATTTATGATATTTAAAATGCATTTCTTCATAGTCAAAATGGTATAAATGATGACCAGTAACAATGCTAATATGGAGATCTGAAATTAATTTCTTCATAGCCAAAATGTGACGGTCAAACCCATGGCCACACCTTTATTTAATCCATACACATACTTTAGTTTGCAATAAAACTTTATTCTTAGGTCAAATACATGTGTTCTATTTGCAAGCACGCACATTGAGTTCACTGTATGTTTTTGTAATCATTCTTATTTCTTTCTGTTTTTGTTACCCATCTGTTTCTGACCTTCTATGGTGCCTATGGAGTTTGGCCAGACAAAAGGTGGCAGCCAGGGCTCAGATCTGCTAAATGCAGGAGGGGAAATTGGACTGTTCCATCAGCTGATGTTAGAAGGGGGGAATTAGATTTTTCCTTTTCTATTCCAAACACCTCATATATCCTTTGAATGTACACACACAAAAATATATATATATGTTGTGTATTTTGAGTATATTTTATGCCAACTCTAAAAAAGAGATTAGTATCCTAATATGTCATTAGATTTTAAAAGAAATGCTAGACATTGTCATTTCCATCACCATATATAATATAATGTTTATGGAATTCCATTAAAGCCAGTATCAGTTTAAGTTTCTAAACATTGTGATGAAGTAGAACAAATCAAAATATGTATTTGGTTTTCTAACACAAAATACCATGAGCAAATCTGACTATAGTGGGAGAATCACCCACATAGTTAGCCCCAAACTATTTACAAGATTTAGATGAAAACTATTTATATTCAGTCAAGAAAAATAAATGAGAAAGATTCATCTAACATTTAGCAAAGTGATGTGGATGGATGGATGGATGGATGGATGGATGGATGGATGGATGGATGGATGGATGGATGGATGGATGGATGGATGGATGGATGGATGGATGGATGGATGGATGGATGGATGGATGGATGGATGGATGGATGGATGGATGCGTGAACCCATCTTTAGCCCTCTTTATATTCAGAGTCTGTTTTATGACTTCTGTGTTCAGACCAGCTTCCAATCTCACCTCTGAATTGTTAAACTGCACACAACCTCAACTCTCCTCCCCACGCATTAAATCAGAGCTTTTTGCATCTAGACATTGGGTCCTTTTACTGAAGAGATTATGTAGCAGAAATTGCAGGTGTGCATTTTTTAATATTTAGCAGGATCTGTTGCTTTCTCCCACCCTAATGGTCAGACGGCTGATTTTTAGCAGCACTGAGTGGTGCTCAGCGGGTGGATGGACCGGAACCGTCTGCCTGTGTGACAGAGCGGCTGCAGGCTGGCCTCTAAGCCTTACACATAAACCCAATGTGTCTCCAACACCTGGTGCGCGCTGCCCACGCTGGCCGTCCCTTTGATATGCATGTTCGTGCGTTTGCATGTTTTTAGCCCAGAGCGAGTAATCCTGCTAACAGAAGCAAGCAGACGCTCCTCAATGGCAAAGCGCTATAAACCGCTGTGTGACCTGGATAAAATGTCCACTTCACTTGCTTTACAGTTTTCAATATTTCTCTGGTAACTCCCACAGATGCCGCTGTCAGGAGTAAGCTCTGAACCGGTGGATTTCTCAGACTCTGTTGCTGTGGATACAAACCGGCAAGATCAAGACCTTCTCCTGCAACAAGAATGTTTTTATTTTTTTCTCACATGTTGATTAGTTGTTTTTTTTTTGTCTGCTTAAAAGAAGTGTTGTGATTAAGGTGGGAAACGATGTTAACTGTTTCTATTGAAAATCCACCTGAAGCTGCATTAAACCTGTGATCTGTTGCTCAGCCATGAATCACGTGTCCCGTGTGCTCCTGCATTTGGATTCCAATTAAACATGTGTCTATGTGACAAAAGCTTATTAAAGCAAACCTCAAAGGCCTCGTGTGTGTGAAGTTATTATTTCTTTGGATGTGATATGAGCCAGTGAGTCAGGAAGCCACTGGGAAATGCATTTTACATTAATATTTGCTCCTACTTTGTCTGATATTGATACGTGCGGAGTGAGAGTTTCAGTTTATTAGGTACAATTTAACATACATTTTAATAGATTACAGGGATAAATGCAGATTTTAATATTGGTTGATACACATTACAGCAGTATGAATTGAACCTGGTAAGTATTCTGTATGCGTCTCGTTCGTGAAGCTCATGCAGAGCTTCACGAGGAGACAGGAGGTTAAGCTCATCCAGAGCTTTCACGAAGAGACAGGAGGTTAAGCTCATCCAGAGCTTTCACGAGAGGCAGGATTCCTGTGAGGCAGAGACAAGGAAGAGTTAGAATCTGATCTCACACTAGAGATAACAAAGATTCTTCAGTAACAGAGGCTCAGGAAGCTAACCAACTAAGATCAACACTGCGGCGTGGAATCCAGGTCTGAAGGCAGCTTAAATACTGTGGTCCTCCTGATTAGTAGATCAGCCACAGGTGTGTGAGAGGCTCAGCTCAGGAGGACCCACGGCGCACTCTGCTGGAGGCAGAGGGTAATCTCCAGAACCTGACAATGACTCCAGCCCTAAGGAAAAGACAAAGAGAGCAGAAGAGGATCCTCGGCACCCTCTGGTGGGCAAGCCTGAGGATCCCAACAGAGCCCCCCCCTCAAGGGCGGATTCCAGACGCCGCCTGAAAAAAAAAAAAGTCCAAAAAACAAAAAACAACCCACCCAGGGCGGGCGGAGGGGGCACTAGGGTGAGGAGGGCCAGAACCAACAAAAAACAGAGTCCAGAAAACAAAAACAACCCACCCAGGGCGGGCGGCGGGGGCACTAGGGCGAGGAGGGCCAGAACCAACAGAAAAAAAGGTCCAACAAACAAAAAACAACCCACCCAGGGTGGGCGAAGGGGGAAACAGGCCAGGAGGGCAGAAAACAAAAACAGAGTCCAGAACAAAAAACGATCCACTTATGGTGGATGACAGCAAAAGAAAACCCAAAAACTTTCTTGGGCAAAGTCTCTGGTGGCCGGCCGAGGGACCGGCAGCGGGACAGATTCTCAGGTGACCGGCCAAGGGACTGGCAGCGGGACAGAGTCTCAGGTGGCCGGCCGAGGGACCGGCAGCAGGACACAGTCCCAGGTGGGCTGCCGTGGGGCCGGCAGCAGGACACAGTCTCAGGTGGCCGGCCGAAGTACCGGCAGCAGGACACAGTCTCAGGTGGCCGGCCGTGGGGCCAGCTGCAGGACACAGTCTCAGGTGGCCGGCCGTGGGGCCAGCTGCAGGACACAGTCTCAGGTGGCCGGCCGTGGGGCCAGCTGCAGGACACAGTCTCAGGTGGCCTGCCGTGGGGCCGGCTGCAGGACACAGTCTCAGGTGGCCTGCCATGGGGCCGGCTGCAGGACACAGTCTCAGGTGGCCTGCCGTGGGGCCGACGGCGGAGGCGTAGTTGCTGCTCAGGAGGTCGACCGTTGAGATGAAGGTGAAGCAGCGTCTTAGGGGGACCACCGCCGGGCCGGAGACACGGTTGAGGTTCAGGAGACCGGCCTACGATCCGGCAACGGAGCAGAGTCTTAGGTGGCCCGCAGCGGGGTCGACGGTGAAGCTGACGCTCAGGAGGTCTGCCGCGAGGCCGAAGGCGAAGCTGACGCTCTGGAGGTCTGCCGCGGGGCCGGAGGCGAAGCAGCTTATCAGGAGGATGACGCCCAAGCTTCAGCAGGTACCCCCACGGGGTACCCCGTCCCCTCCTCGGCAGCTCAGGAACAGTCTCAGAAACAGCCGCCGACTGCGGCTCTGGAGGAGGCTCAGAGGAGACCGCCGACTGCGGCTCTGGAGGAGGCTCAGAGGAGACCGCCGACTGCGGCTCTGGAGGAGGCTCAGAGGAGACCGCCGACTGCGCCTCTGGAGGAGGCTCTGAAGAGTCCGCCGACTGCGGCTCTGGAGGAGGCTCTGAAGAGTCCGCCGACTGCGGCTCTGGAGGAGGCTCTGAGGAGACCGCCGACTGCGGCTCTGGAGGAGGCTCTGAGGAAGCCGCCGGCTGCGGCTCTGGAGGAGGCTCTGAGGAAGCCGCCAGCTGCGGCTCTGGAGGAGGCTCTGAGGAAGCCGCCGACTGCGGCTTTGGAGCAGGGGAGCCCGCCGATTGCGGCTCCCGGTCAGGAACAGGGGAGCCCGCCGATTGCGGCTCCCGGTCAGGAACAGGGGAGCCCGCCGATTGCGGCTCCCGGTCAGGAACATGCGGAACCACCGAATGTGTTTTCAGTCTCTGGTGCAGGCGATACCACCGACTGTGGTTCAGCCTCAGGAACTGGGGAGGCCACCGACTGTGGCTCCACCACAGGAACAGGAGACACCACCGACTGTGGTTCAGCCTCAGGAGCGGATGGGACCACCGACTGTGGTTCCACCTCTGGAAACCTGGGCTTCCAGAGGTGTCTGGAAGCCCAGACACCCAGATTACCTTAGTCTTCCTTGTCTCAGTCATTGCTAGCTACTCAGATCAAACATCCCTACAGCATGATTGTGACACCCCCATGCTTCTCTGTAGGGATGGTGTTAGCCACAAGATGAACCATGCCTGACCTCCGCAAAATGGGACAATTAATGCCAGAGAGTTTAATCTTCGTCTCTTTAAACCAGCTGATGTATTCAGTAGAAATTGGGCCAAAGGGACAGGTGAACCTGTGCTTCCTGAAGTCAGAACCACAGTTTGATCGGTTCCAACAGTTACTGCAAAGTCTCCACAACGAAAACGCCAATCTGCCTACACAACTACCGGGTCATAAGCTGGTACAGGTAAATAGTTCGATTCCTTATGCCTTGTCTGCATTAAAAATGTCTAAATTGGTTTTGCGCTGCATCCATTGGTAAAAACCTTCTGGATTATTAAATAAAAAGTGAAACAAAACCGAACAGTCAACACTCCCTGATCACCCCCCTTAGTAACAGTCACCCCCCTTTTTCATCTCCCTGCTGTCTCTGTGCTGTTTAAATCCCATCCGCCCTCCCTGCCTGTCAAAACCCACCATATGTACATTTATGCCAACGCCGTCAAGCCTTTCCCCACAGCACATTTCTACGAGTTTTTAATTGTTGCAGAACGTGGCCGTCGCATGTCGGCCTCAACGCAGGTGTTGATTTGTGTGAGTCGAAATGAGCTTTTAGCGAGCCACCGTCCCGCCCCACGACTCTTGTCTGCCAACAACCATCTTTATTGATTCCAAGCAATCTGCCACGGTGGCACAGACGCACGGGGAAGGAAGGGGAGAAGGAGGAGAGGAGCGCCTGAGGGGAAGAAAACTACAAAGAATATAAACAGGAAATTGGGAGAAGGCCCATATTTTATATAAAAGCCTCATCTGTCTCAAAAGGGATTGCCTTTTCCTCTCCTGAGCACTTTGATTCACTCCCTGTCTGGAGCTCAGTGGCATCCTCCTCATCATCATCAGCAGCAGCTCCCTGTCTCACTGTTCTGCTCTACAGGATGGTGGAAAAAATAAACAGATGGAAGAGCGAGGGTTGAAGAATCAGAGGTAGGATGTAGCTGTTCAAACTGAGAGAGGAGGAGGAGGGTATGATGCAGAGCTTGTGGGGGGGAGGGGGATGTGCTGATGAACTCATCTAAGGGAGCTGTGGATTTTTTAATAAGCAGCAGACTGTGAAGTTTCCCTCCAACCAGTTACTGTGAATAATGAGAGCAGGAGACACGCAGGATGAGAGGATGAAAAGACAACGAGACTCATTATCCCTCGACCAATTTTCATCACTGTCCCGTCAGTAATCCCTCTCCCAACTCTTCCTCCTCCCCCCCTCTCCATCTCCAGCCATCCTCGGCTCTGTTTGAGATGACAGATGAAGACCAATTAACGCTAACTGTTTGGGTAACTTAAAGGCTGATTCCCCACCATCTTCCGCAAATGGAAATGACTCTCTGCCCACAGCCCACCTGTGTGTGCTCGAATTTAACATCCCCAGGAGAAGAGCTCAGCTATAAACCCTCTAAAGGTGTGTTAACATTAGTGAATGCCACTGTGTTTGATGAACAGTAATTAAAGTTATTGCCCTCTCAACATCCTTTGGCATCTATAAATATTTGTTTTATCTCTTTGCACCAGAATAAATTTGAAAATTATTCTTCTCTTCCAATATTTTACTTTTGTTGTTAGAATCGAAGCAGCTCTGACTGGAATCAGTGTCTTCCCGCTGTTTTAAGTTTTGCAGAAAAGCTCTATGCATGCAAAGCGACATGATTTTTGCCCATTAGCAGTTTTGCTGAATGGTTTTTTTATGACAACGAGCTCTCTCTCTGTGCCCCCCATGCTGTGTCTCAGCTGCTCTGTGTTTGTGCACGCTTGGGCAGTGCAGCTTATCAGACTGTAAAGAGATAATTCCTTTAAATGGAGGTTGGGTTTTATTTTGTCAGATAAAAAATTCAACTGCCACACAAGGTGACACATAACTTCTCTGTGTGTAAAATAATAAGTAAAGGTTTGGGTTTTATGTGTGAAAGAAAAACCTTACAATGACAATTATGTGTTGTTCTTTGAGACAGGAGCAGCTTGATCAGAGTTGAGATGTTTTCACACCAGAAGCTTCTGCTGAATAGAAATATGAATTGATGGCGGTACATTCTCTAAAGAAAAGGGCCAAAAAAAATTAAATAAAAGTCACTGTATTTGGTTCCCAGTGAGTAATCTAACATTTTGCTACCTTCCAATCCCACCAATCAGTTGTAAAGATGTGTTAAATGCTCCAGCTCCAAAGTGCATCAAAATAACACATTTCATCAGTATTACAATTCCTGACAGCAACAATCAGTTTAGGCTCAAATCAAGTATGCTATATAACTCCATATAATTCTATACTTCCTTAAGGAAGGGCGTCCTTTTATTTGCTCTATATATTTCATAAATAAATTTCAAACATTGTTCTTGGTGGATATTTATTATGTTCA